TACTATTATTTATTAATTTATTATTATGGAGTATAAATATAAATTACATTATTCTTCACTCAACTTCCCTCTCTCAATATTTGATGAATTTTTGCCTTAAATTGTAACACCGTCCCCAAATGTATTTACCTTTAAGCGAATAATTTATTGAACCTTGTGAAGTTTTTAGTGAATTTACGAAGTTGTGAATTTGTATTATATTTTTTCGCGTAAATAGTAAATTGCACGTGGGGCCCACATCGGGAGTGGGGACCGCCCGATATTATCGGGGCCACATATTATACTGATCTTGGACTAGATAATATGTATATGGTGGTGGATATCCTAGTTGAGCCATGACAATGGCATAGGGTTGACCGGTTGGTCAAACGGGGCCAAATTATCAGTATCGGCAATCTATCAGATAACAGCCCGAAAAGGGATTTCGGAGACTTCTAAATTAAAGTTGAGGGATGCATATTGATTCTAAGGTCCATTAAGAATTGGGAACAAGTGTTATATTTTATTTGACCCGATAAAATAAAATATACTTAAAAACAGTCCGGAAAATACAACTTTCGGGGCAAATTGCACACTTTGGGACAAATTAGGATGACCTCCCACATGGGTGGGGGCCACCCCACGAAATTGTCAACCCTTGAGGGATGGATGAGTGCCAAATTGGCTGAACAACAATTGAGAGGATGGGGGAGACACCTTTGACATGTAGTAGACCCTCTCCCTTCACTCATTTGTCTAAATGAGACAAAAACCACCCCTCTCACCTCACCATCTCCACCCACACAATTCAGCACCCTAGGATAGCAAGGAGAGGCTCTGAAACTTCTCATCTCCATAGCCCAAATCCGAACTCAAGCTCAAGGGAGTCCAAGAAGGAAGTTTAAGAAGGAAAAAGCTAGGAAAAAGTGTGAAAATTAAGGTAATGACCTTATCATAACTTTTCCTTTGTTTTTCTTCTAGCATATAAGATATATATCATATGAAAGGCCTTTAGTATTGTTCTACATGATTTAAGTGTGGAATAATGGGTTGGAAAGTGATTCTAAGTCCAAAAACGGACTTAGAAGCCAAATCGACCGGTTTGCCGGAAAATAACCTTTTATAGGTTATTTGTGTTGATATGGGTTTTGTGATGATAAAACCTTGTTAGGAACTTGATTTAAAGTATTTTTGAGCCTCTCCGGAGTTTCGTCGGAGTTGGTCAAAGTTCGCCGGAGTTGGTCAAAGTTCGCCGGAGTTGGTCAAAGTTCAATCAAGAAACGTAGAACGCGCTTAAGCTTAATTAAGGTGAGGATGACCGACTATGTTACTTATAATCTTTGGGTTAATTTCCTAAGTGAATACAAATGTGATGTGTATGAGTTGTTAATGGTTAATAATGCCTAAATGAAACTACTATTGATTATAAGTATAGTATGCATGATACACAAATTTATGAATAATCTATGTATGTTTAGATGCTATGAATATGTGTGTATGATGGTTGTACCAACCATGAATATCATTTGAGATAGTATACTTTGATGCCATGAGGAGAAGCTATGAGGGTATGAAAGTGATACTTGATATTAAGGCCAATTGGGCAAGAAGAAAGAATTATATTGAAATAAATAAATAACTAGCATTGAAATATTAGTTGGAAATGTTAGTTGAGAAATGGATGAATTAGATCCTAAGAATTTGAATTATAAAGAATCGGTGATTATGAGCCGGGCTCAAGACCGATGTAGATAACGGTGATTATGAGTTGGGCTCTAGACCGTAGTAGATGACGGTGATTATGAGCTGGGCTCTAGACCGTAGTAGATGACGGTGATTATGAGCTGGGCTCTAGACCGTAGTAGATGACGGTGATTATGAGCGGGGCTCTAGACCGTAGTAGATAACGGTGATTATGAGCTGGGCTCTAGACCGTAGTAAATAATGATGAATTGATACTAAATGAACGGATTAACTATAATGTAATGATGCTCTAGATTGAGGGCCTTAGAGATTTAAACTTCGATTATACTTAGTATAGTTGTCATTGTACTTGTCAAATGCTTCCCAGTACTGACCTCCCCTTCACGGGGGAGGCCACCTCACAGTTTCAGGTAGAACTTGAAGGTTGCTACTACCAGCCGCTGTTTCGGGAAGTTTCTGAGGAGAAGACTTGGTTCGTGCTTCTCCCGTTCTTGTTTTGAAAACAATATGAATAATGCTCATGGATAATATTTTCTGAATAATTACTTTGGGGGCTTGCATGCCTAATTATGCCAAGTGTGGCTTGAACACTTGTATCAATTGTTTCCGCTGCTTTAATAAATGTTTTACATTATGTTTGTTTATGGATGTACTATGTGTGAATGGTATTCAAGACGCCTTGTATAGTATGGATGAGTCAGACTGCGGTTGACTATTCGTACTGTACGGCGGGTTGTTGACGTGTCCGGGTAGGTCCGGGGCGTGACATAAATGCTTTTTTTATATGTGTTCTTCATGATATATAAATATCCCTACAACCATGAACTTATTGATTTGAAAAACAAGTAAGCTCTAGCCACTAAAAAATAATGAAATGAGTAATTTCTCATTTAAAGATTCTTCGGTTGCGGATATCCCTGATGGAGTATATGGCCCAGGGACCCCCTGCGCATAGACTCCTACTACTCTAATCAAGGCCCAATAGGTCCAGGAAGCACAACAGGCCCAAATCACAGCGCCCCGAGTACCAAGCAACCAACAATACACACTGGGGGTGCCTTCGGCCCCTTGGCCGAAGGCTCCTGATACTCACAGAAAGGCTATTTTCAGCATACGAAGACATTGGGAGAAGACAGTAAAAACAGCAGCCCTCGGCACCTGGAGCCCTCGGCACTTAGGGTGCCCCCGGAAGGAAGGGCCTTCGGTCAATCATCTACGGTCGAAGGCTTCTCCTCGACAGAATCTCCCACCCACATGTGTTGGATCAACGTACCAAGTACAAACGTCACATCCAACCACCGCATTTAATGTGGCCACATGCGAGTGCCAGTGCCACCCCGTTGAGGTGACCCCTCGACCACCAGAATGATGACACGTGTCCCTATCTGGCATTTATTACTACTATAAATAGCGCCCCTTTTCCCCATTTGTAATCCAAGCTGAACACGCTCACTACATTCTCAGCAATATACTCTCTCTCTCTTACTTTTGCTCTGACTTCTCTCTAGTTACTCCTCGCATTAACCCTTCGGATACATACCCCCGGGTAGACTATCCATCAATCCCATTTAAAGTTTCTCATTTCTATTTTAATTTAGGAAATAATGAGCAATTATCAATGATAACTTGATCATGGATGACAATTTAACCCGGCCCGATGGATACCCGCACTGAACCGAACCGGTCAAAATGGGGAAAACCGCTTTGACTGGGTAATGGGTATGGGGCGCCTAATACCCGCCCTGTTTAATTTGGATACGGTTACCCGCACCATTACCCGACCCGCACAATTAACTTACATATTATAATAGTTTATGCATTTAATATATTAAGTATATATGAATAGCAGTACATTAGTATATGACACTTATTCCCTCTAATTTTTTGAAAAATATTCAACTAATCGGCTATCCTTTGCAATTCTTAGAAGTTGGTGCTCAAAGTTCACTAGCTATTTTAAATTTTTACTGTAATTTTCAATATCATTCATCATCCTTCCTTTGTTAACTTCTACAAGATTTATTTTTTTCACATATTGATTATTTGATTTTCGTGATTTTCTGTACTCAATTTTCACATTGTGATTCTCTTAATTTTTCATCCAATAACGTTCATAAAGCTCACATATGAGTTTAAAGTCCAAATATTGAGAAACATTACTCAAGATTGCTTTAATTTATGTAATTGCTAATAATTTTGTAAAGGTGTATTGGATGATTAGATTAATTTTGATTGGTTGCTCTAATTTATATCAAGTTTTAAATTTAAATTATGAGGTTTCTAAAACAGTAACTACATGAATACCTAAATCATAGTATTAGAAGTACATTTTTTTAGAAATAATTCCAAATCTATAATCAAAATAGAAGCCGTGGACAAAAATGCGACTCTAGTAATTAACTTTAATATTTATAATATTATTCAAATGTTATATCGTAGTGACTATAAAACTTACCCATGCTAATTTATAGTCACATTTATGTTCATATATTTTTTATTAGTAATATTTTAGGAAAAAAGTTCTCATTTTCATTATGTTACTTGTATACATTACTGTTCTTAAATTTAGATGTTGAATGTCGGTGGGGTATAATTATTGAATTTTTGGAAGTTAAATGTTTTTGTGATTCATATTTAGATTTTATTATCAAGAAAAGACTTAATCTTTTGATGTTAATGTGGTATGAGATTCATAATTTTGAATCTAGACATATATAATTTGTGAATATTAGTTTCAGACGATTGTAATTTTTTTAAATTTTTAAAAAAACTTTATCTGTGGTGCTATTTAATTTTGATTTTTTTTAATTGAGCTGGTCAATTATAAGTAGTTAATTATCATTTTAAGATTTATACTAATTTTGAATAGAAAAAAATTATCTTTTAATAAAACGGTTACCTGCAGGGAAACCGTTACCGCGGGGAAAACCGTTACCCGCGGGTAAAAAATACCCGACGGGTAACGGGGCGGTTTCGGAGAAAAATATTATCATACGGGGCGGGTACGGGTAATGAACCGCCCCGTTGCCATCTTTAAACTTGATGATCTTTTAATCAATACACCCTAACAATACAATTATCATCAATTATATCACTTCTAATGGGACGTCGTATCGTTTTACTAACTTAAAGGAAATGTTGAAGGGTTAATCCCTGTTTTTTAATCATGCATATCGATCAAGATGATCATCACATGCAGCACAGTGTGTCCTGACGTACAGAACAAATTTCAATTTTTGTTGCGGTTTCAATAAGGTCCAAATTCTACTTGGAAAATATAATGACATGTCTTTACCAACCAGCATATAAGCTATAATAAGCAATCTATATGACTATATATATGCAACCTTCCAATTGCTAACTCCCAAGGGATAAACTTCCCATTCCAATACATACCCACCACAAATTAACACCACTCTCAATTCTCTCAGCTCCTTCAATTCCTCAGCTTAGCTTACTGAACAAAACTACTTGGTCCTGTTTTGTCTTTGTGAATAGTAATAGCAACAATAATGCCAAGTTTCAGGCCCATTATTGTTATTATATTCACTTTAGTCATCTTTCAGCACCTCCCAAAAGAAAGCATAGGCCAGAGAAATGTTGGTGTGAACTTGACTCAAATAGAATATGCAGAAGAAGAGTTCATGAAATGGGTGATATTTGTGGGCAGCCTAAAGCACTCTCTCTTCCGGGCGGCAGAGAATAAGCTCTTCCCTTCCTTCACCCTCACCGTCGATAACAATCCGGCTTACGGCGACTTCACCTCCATCCAGGACGCCGTTGACTCTCTCCCCTTTATCAATCTATTCAGAGTTGTCATCAAGGTCCATGCAGGTGTTTATACGTGAGTATTATTGATTTTTTTTTTGATAGTTTGATTATATTATTATAATTCAACTCACTCTAATTAATACTAGTAGTTTTTCTAAGTATACTTTTTTTATTTATTTGTTTATTTTTTTATTTGATTATTATCTTGGGAAACTCTAAGTCAATCTGGTCCCTAGCTAACCCCACATATAGTTTTATTCATCTAATAATTAGATTTTAGTTCTCATGATATAATTCTGATGGCATGCACGAGGAATGATTTGATTTTGATTGTCATCATATTCAAGTGATCTGATTTATCTTCAAAAATATTACTTCCTATTGGTCCTTTTTTAATTACTCTATGATTAATTCTAAGTTTGTTAATACTCCCTCTGTCTCATAAAGTTCTTCCCGCTTTGACTTAGAATCGAAGTTTAAAAAAGTGAGAATAAATTGGACATGTATGGTTGTGATTGAATAAGAAAAAAACGAAAGAAATGTCAATCACGCAAAACATAACTTCTCAAAAAATTTCATGGGAGGGGGAGTACTTGTTTTTTCCTGTTTTAGGGATTTATAAAATTATTAGGAGCATGCCGGAAAGAAATGATGGATGATAGAATATGACTAAACCATTTGTATTTCCAAAATGGCGGTGTTTTACATGTACAATATGTGTCTTTTATGCTATTTTTTCTTTCTCCAATTTTTTTTATCCATATAGAGTCATATTTAAGTTTAAATACTTCAGTGAGCCTCTTGAGTTGCAATGCAAACTAAAACACTTAACAAACCTCTACATACTTCCATTAAAGTAATAATACCTTTTGTGACTTTTCAACCCTTTCAATTCATTTTACTACTCCTCCCAAAAAGATTTGCAAAATAAAGGTTTAGTAGTTGAATGAAGATGTATTTATTTCTTACTTGTCAAATTTAAAATTGCATTAGTAATTCAAATTTATATTTGTGAAAACTAGATTAAAAGTTCTATTTAATTGCAAAAATCAAATTTCAAAATGATAAAACGTAAATGTCAAAATAAATATCAACAAGGATTTATGCTTGACCAGTACGAAATACGAAGTATTTATAATTACTATATATATATATATATATATATATAATTACATTTTCAAACTTGATGAAAAACTTTGAATGCAAAGCAAAATTCGAAGGAATATGAATTAAATGCGGGTGTACTTGGGAAATTTGTTTCTTGTGAATTGCTGCTAGGTGGGGTTCATTTGCTCTCATTTTAAGGCCACATGTGAGTCACGGGATAGAACATCTTTGGGACAAGTTGTCTAATCTTAACTGTTTTGCTTCGGAGGGTTAGTTGACTTTAATCTTTGAGAGTTAGTTGAAAGATCAATTTGATTGTATACTATTAAATTTTGAAACTTTATTCTAAAACAGTAATTAAATAGGAGCACGTAGTTTAATTTATACCTTCTTTATAGTTTTGTATTTGGCTAATTAGAGAAGATAGTGATCTTAAAGTCCGTAGTATATTTGATAGAATGATATACTTCATAATAAGTTTTTTTTTTGAGAAGAACTTAATTAATTGCCAATAATCAAATCAAAAGCTAGAGTGTTAACAATACAGTGTGGGGGATTAAATAACCAAACGCAGATATCTAATATCCCCACCAATAATGCCTTTAGCAGATAAGCTCGACCCTTTTAATAATTCTAGGAGCTCCTTAGAAATCCTATAAAGAAATAGAAGCTACTATGAGTTTGTAGTTTTTGAGAAGTGTTTGTTTTTATACTCCGCATCAATTAATCATCCTAGCTTGTTATGTCATCATAATTACATCAAATATGTTAGATTAATGTACTCAAACTACATGTAGTATTCACAATATATTATTATTGGAGTTTATTGAATGTTATATCACTTATATGCTATCTTATAATATCTCCGTCCAGGAGTGAAGCTAGGGTACTGAGCTGAACTTAGCCGATACAAAGAATATTTTTTGAAACAAATTTACACGAAATGTTTTACACTAAAAATAAAGTCATTTTTTAAATTTGGAGTGGATCATGGCCTAGGTTGGCCCTCCCTAGCTCCGTCCCTGTCCGTGTCCTGTTCAAAGGTTCACATTGTAAAATGACATGATTGTTTAAACAATGATTAAATAAAGTAATTTGAGTACATTTTGAGAAATAATTTTGATAATTATATAACATAATGATGTCATTGATGATAATTGTGATGTTATAGATGTATTGTTTTTAATACTTAATGATTAATTTACCATTTAAGAGTATTAATTATTTTTCTAAAATGTAAATTGGAATCTTTGAATGGGGCAGAGACGGTATATTTTTAGGCCAAAAATTGGTGGTCTTATGGATTTTAACACAAGAAAGGCATGTATGTGAACCACTACACTACACCATTCACTTGTTAACAAATGCCTTTTAAGAAGTATAAATCATGTATCCTTCACCCCGGGAGTGCACTATTTCTTAATCGCATGTATTATTCGTTCCTTTAGAAATATCTCTTTACCAAACAATAAAAAATGTAATAATAAAAAACTGAATTTGAGTTATTCAATTAAAAATCTTATTAAAACTTATAATAAAAACATAATTTGCTAATTTAATTTGAAAAATAAAGAAATATTTAACTTAGAATACAAAAAACTAATTTAAACTTATAATGACAAAACACAATTTGGAATATGTATTTTTTTAAATAACTTAGCTTCAAATGAAATAAAATAAAATAAAATATAATTCATATTTCTAAGTTACTTATTGCATGAAATTTACTTATTTTTTATTTTATTTACTTTTGAGTTATTTCAAAAAACTTTTAAATTATATACTTCAATTTTTTATAAATTTAAATTACATTTTTATAGAATTAAATATCTCAAACTAAGCTTTTCGTTGTGATTATTTCGTTATAGTAGCTCAACTCTTCACGACTCGGGGTTCAATTTTCTCATTGATTATTATTGTTTGAAATTCGAATTCAACGCTCAAATTTGAACTAAATTGTAACATGTTAACTTTTAGTGAAATTTGCAATACAAATACTTTAAATCCAAGAATGTATACATTTAGCTGTGTATTACTCATTGCTTTAAAAATATATAGCTTCTTTTTAAAATAATTAAAAAATTACGCAAAATACTAGGTTTGTGATAATTAAAAATAAAGACTTAATTAAAATTTATTGTTACTAAATGTTATGAAAGGCTCTAACCCACCCCAATTTAAAATCAGATACTATTCATGTCGAGAAAATCATATACGAGTAATATTTATCTAAGAAAGAAAAAACTTGATAAATTTATAAACGAAAAATGCTTGGTTCCGAGGCGGAGTAGAGCCGAGGCTGAACAAAATTGAGCTGTTAGAGAATTTTCATAAAGAAAACTTTATACGATATTTTACATTGATATTAAACCTTTTATAGAATTTAAAGTGGACTAGCATGAAATTTACTTATATTTTATTTTTTTTATAAGTTTTTTATTGTTATATTTTTAATTGTTTGGGAAAGGAAGAAATATACTTCCTCCGTTCTTTATTATCTGTCTCGCATTCCTTTTTGGGACGTTTTTTATTATTTGTCTCTCTTTCTATTTTAGGAAAGTTTTTGATAAAATACCCCCACTTTTATTACTTTTACCCCTCTTACTTTTTACAAATTACTTTCTCTTTCCTACTTTATCATAAGTTTACCCTACTTATTATACTCTATTTCCTACTTTATCATCACTTTATCACCACTTTACTCTTTTTAATATACTCTCTTTCCTACTTTAGCATTTACCCTACACACTCTACATTTACCCTACTATTTTTCTATTAAAACTCGTGCCCAAGGCTAGCGGGACAAATAATAAAGAACGGAGGTAGTATTTCTAAAGGAACAAATAATACATGTGATTAAGAAATAGTGCACTCTCGGGGTGAAGGATACATTTATACTTCTTAAAAGGCATTGGTTAACAAGTGAATGGTGTATTGTAGTGGTTCACATACATGCCTTTCTTGTGTTCCACCTAGGTTCAAATCTTGTTGGCTTCATTTTTTTCTATATTTTAGAAGCACACCTAAACTCTAAGTGATGGGATTGATGGGATGATGTGGATAAGCTGGTGCGCAGCAGTGATAATGAGGTGACATGGCAAAAAATACCCCTATTTTGGAATTAAGTTTAAAAGTATCTTATTTTGGGAAATAAGTTTGAAAAACACCCCTCCATGGGAAAAAAAACTCTGGATTTTCATTTAAGTGAGCTAAAATGTTGTCTTATAAGGTATATGAACCAAATGTGCAGAGACTAGAGACCCATGGACTTAATCCCAATTAATGATGGGTTGATTAGGGTTATCATTCTCTATAAATAGATGGGTTATGATCTCTAATTGAACACACCATTCTATATTTCTGCATCCAATTGTTGAAAAGCTAATTCCCGAGAATGTGTATCAAGAAAAAGACACAAACCCTAATCTTTGCCATTTAGATCTCAAAAGATCGTCTCCAACGGAGTCATGCATGTTTCCGCTCAGCTATTTGTCTAGATAATTTAAAATGAAAATAAATTTTTTGATAAATCTATTCCTTCAAAATAGTCAAAATAATTGTAACTTTTTCAGTCATTTTATGAATAATGTACTCCTTTCATCCCTAAATAAACATTTCACTTTCCTTTTCGGTTCGTCTCTAAAAAAAGTCATCTTTTCTTATGAATAATGTACTCCTTCCATCCCTAAATAAACATTTCACTTTTCTTTTCGGTTCATCCCTAAAAAAGTCATCTTTTCTTATTTGGTAAACAAAACATTGTCAAACAATGTCAAAACAGTGTCAAATTAATCACTTTTTAAAATTGTGTGTAAAACTGTAAAATAAAATGACATTTTTTAAATAGGGTGAGAAAGAATACTACCCAAAATATTACTACCGGAGTAAAACTTATGTCAACCATACACCAAATATTAAAACTTATCCTGTTCACATCTAATCGCTAAGCAGCCCATATAATGCCACAATTCCTAACCAAGCATTCCAGCCTAACTCGTTGTGAGGTTACCGTGCCTAGTGAGAGATCTCGAGTTCGAAACCCGCTGGGCACATAAGGGTTTGAAACTCAGTGGATTGAGTTTCAGCCCTGATTACTCCAGCCTCTCGCCAGACCGTGGAGTAAAAAAAATGCCACAATTCCTATAGTACTATACCTGCATAGCTGTAAAGCCTCAGTCATGACCTCTGATCTCTGAGTTCTTGGGGTTATATTTTACTATTATTAATTTTATATATGGATGCACGTGAACTGAAGTTAATTTTTATATATATGTATAGGGAGAAAGTGAATATACCAGCTACAAAATCTTTTATAACAATTCAAGGGGCCGGGGCGGAGAGTACAATCGTAGAGTGGGGAGACACAGCACAAACCCTTGGCCCAAATGGGAGGCCACTTGGTACCTTCGGATCTGCCACCTTTGCTGTCAACTCTCCTTTTTTCATTGCAAAAAATATCACTTTCAAGGTAATCATTAAATAATTATATTTTACCAACATACTCCGTATATGACTTTTTACTTAATTTCTCTTATTTATTAAGGAGCTAGCCTAAATTATTTGTGCTGAGCCAATCTTATCTTAGTTTTATTCAACCTCTCATTAATTATTATTCCTTATGTCCCTTAATATTCTTCCAATAACCATTGTCCTACAAAAATCTTTTCATTTTCCTTTTTTGAAAAGTTATGTGTGACTAACATTCATTTACATTTTTGTTACTCAATCACAATCATATATTTTCACTTTCTTAAACTCCGATCCAAATTAAACTGAAAGAATTTTATGAAACGGATGAGTAGTATATAAGAGCTTGCTTCAAAAGAGCCATTTAGCTTAAGTATAGCTTCCTCTCAAAAAAGAAGGCTAATTACTCATTCTTCTTATAAGTCAGCTAGAAATCTATCATTAAGGGGCCCAGTGCTTGAGTTTTTTACAATGTGGGAGCAAAAAAGATTAAAATATTAACATAATTTTTATTTTTTTAAAAATATTTATACATAAATATACATTAGATGTTTTTTTTTTATCTGGGGGGGGGGGGGGGGGGGGGGCTCGAGCCCCTACCTGTCTCCCTGAAGCCACTTTATGTGAGTCATGTGATCGACCAAATGAAACCATAAAAAAGAGCAAGGATACACATTTTTGGTACATTTTGTAGAAACAATCTTGCATGGGACTACGAATGTATTGAATAACAAAAAATTAGATCCATAACTTTTGGTCATCAGTGAATACATGTTGTATAAGAATGTACCTAAAGAATATGTAAAACAACATCTAGCTAGTAGCTACATCGATGAAATATGTCTGGTCTTTTGAACTTTTTGCACCATTCGTCTTAAAATTCAGTGACAAATACAAAGGGAGGAAATATATACTAGTATGAAATAGTTAATAAATTTTATTCATAAATTTTATGACTTAGCTGATGACACAAAATGGTGTTGAGATTGAGTTGGATCGGAGTTTAAGAAAATGGAAATAAAGCGACAATGTACGATTGTGATTGAGTTTAATTGATGTTGACTTAACTAAGTCAACCATACTATTCCGTAATAAATTTGGCACTCATCATCAGCTAAGTGTTGCACGAAATTGTGAGACAAAATGTTGTTGAGACTTGAGAGGTTCTTATCGTTTTCACTCCAAGATTAATTAAGCTCACCACAGTCATTGATGGAATCAGGAAAGAAATGAAAAAGAGCAGGAGGGTCTCCACAAGGTGAGGATCCAGTCTCGGGGGAAATATCTAACCATAATGTCTACATCCACTCTCAAAACTTGAGTCTCTGACCTTCAATTGTACAACAACACCATAATAAGTAGTGTGCCAATTGAACCCGCACGAGTAGCTCAGTTGGTCGAGCGGTGGGAAAAATTGGACGTAGACCAAGGTTCGAATCCCGCAGCGACCAAATGGGGGTTTTCAGAACCTGAAATAAGGCTGACCCTCTGGTGCGCACGGGTAAAGGCCTACTGCCGCTTTACTGACTGAGTCACCATGATTAACCTCCCCACCATCCTGTCAGGTCGGGGTGGGGGCCTTGGGGTTGGGCATCAAACTTTTGGACGTAGTGTGCCAATTGAATAAATATGAACTTCTTTCCATCCCCCTAATATATATGAACCTCCAGCCCTTCTAATAAATTAAAAAAAACATACTTAACTATAAACCGCCGGGCACCTAACAATATTAATTTTATTCCCGCGCCTATTAATAAGGACACACTGCAAAAACAAAGACAGGCTTGACATGAATTTTTAGCTGGGATTCCTCAAAATTCATGGAGGATTTGACAGGGATATAACAAATTCATGTCAAAAACACTTTGACATGAGTTATTTGGCACGAAATCGTCAATTGACCCATGCCAAATTCATGTCAATTTCGTAATTTCCGTGTAGTAACAGCACTTAAATAATAATATGAGTTGGATAAGTGAATGGAAAGATTTGGATGCAGAATACAACTCCAGTGCCGCCACCAGGAGCAATAGGGAAACAGGCAGTGGCATTTAGGATATCAGCGGACACAGCAGCCTTTGTAGGATGCAGGTTCTTGGGAGCTCAGGACACACTCTATGATCATATGGGTAGACATTATTACAAAGATTGTTACATAGAAGGTTCTGTTGATTTCATTTTTGGCAATGCTCTTTCCTTGTTCGAGGTAATCATAGCATATCATATCATTAATGACCATTTCTTATTGAAAAATGCTTGGTATACACTTTTTTTATGCACACTTTTAGGACACGTGTCTTTTTACACAAATAAATACTCCTTCCGTCCCATAATTCACTTCCAATTTTCCCTTTTTGTCTATTCTAAAAAGAATTTCCCTTTCACTTTTTGGCAAAGAATTTGTGGTTCACATCAATCAATTCTTACACATTCTTACACATTTCTCTCTCATCTGCACAACTCTCCACCACACAATTCCCACTTTCTTAATCCGTGTGCCATTTGTACTATGGAAGTAAATTTTGGGACAAAGGGAGCAGATAAGTGTGGGAGCAGATAAGTGTGCCAAAAGTGTACACAAAAAAGTGTACACCAAACATCCATTAGGATGTTTTCTTTATTTGACAATCAAAAGTTCTAGACTTTAGTCCGAAAATGATCATTTCAATCAATTGAACTGAATTTAAAAAATCAAAAAAAAGGGTAACCCGTGGGAAAGGATTCTAGACAATGAATTATTGGACGAGGCCGATCGCTTAACTTTATGTGAAACAAAAACAGTCAATTGAAAAGTGAACTAATTGGAAATATAAAAAAATGTGTTATATTGGGTGCAGAATAGTCATTTACATGCAATAGCACAAGTGACAGGAGCGGTAACGGCACAGGGAAGAGCAAGCCTGTTGGAGGACACAGGCTTTTCATTTGTCAACTGTAAGGTGACGGGGTCGGGTGCTTTGTACCTTGGAAGGGCATGGGGTCCTTTCTCTAGGGTCGTCTTTGCTTACACTTATATGGACAACATTATCATGCCCACAGGTTGGCACAATTGGGGTGACCCTAATCGTGAAATGTAAGTCGATCTCCCTTCCATCTCATGTCCACCATCACACCCTCACAACGATCATCTATATTGGTTAATTTGGTTTGGTTTAATGCACTTGCACATCTGTGGATCTAGGGCCGTCTTTTAGGAGATGCAATAGATGTTTGACACCGGGATTCACTCTTATAGGGGTCTCCAAAATTTAGTACTGCTATGTAGTAGTTATAAGTTCCGATTTTTTTTGAATGGTATTGATTATTTCAGATTTCAAAAGACCTATAACTGTTAATTTGTGTGCTTTAAACGTTATAAAGCTTATATTTCACAGAATTATCTAGTCTATTTGTATTTTATTGTTAAGTTTTGCACTTTCATATTTTAGGGAGGCCTTAATTCGTCATTTGGAATCGGGGCCTCCAAATTCATCGGACGGCCATGTGTGGACCCCATAGATTTTTACATTTTTGTGTTATTTCAGAAGTAAATTTTGGGTTATGTGACATGTGATACCACACCAACAAACACGACTTAGACTTATAGGTCTATACATTAATAACGCCACAATCCTTATTTAATTAACTAAGATGGTAGAAATGTTTTGGTGGACTTTGAGTATGTTTGGCACAACTATCTGAAAAGATACTTTTGTGAGCTTTTTAATAAATGTTAGCTTTTAGTGACCGAAAAGATCTTAAAGAGAAAAAGTGGTAGCTGTTTGGTAAAAAGTTGACGGTTTGATTTATTAGTTCGGTTTGGTATACAAGCTGTTAGGACTAATTAATACTAAAAGTCACGAGCTTTTTACAGATGTTATTCTCGGTAGCATCTCAAAAAGATCTTTTAATTTTTGAAAAACTCTTAAAAATTGTCATGTCAAACATATAACTAGAAGCTTTTAGAGGCTTTTTGAACAGTACAAACGCTAGAAGGTAGAGACTTATGTCTGCCAAACATTGTCTTTGCCTCATGAAACTAGCTAGTACCAAATGGTGGATCTTATCACTTTGTATGTAACTTTTTTTCGATCACTTTTCAAAATTGCAACCAAATAAGTGAAAAAATAAAGAAATGTATAGTACACTCATATTCCTGACATATAGATCCTTAACAAACTATATTTAATGTTGTAGAGAATTTATGTTGCACAACTTAGCCAAAATACACTGTGTAAAACATTTTGAAGTATCTATAAGTTCGAAAATTTATGCACGCCAGAATTGTCGCATTTTTAACATATCAGATTTGTGACAATATGGACATGAGCAGGACTGTATTTTACGGGCAATACAAGTGCAGTGGGCCAGGATCAAAATATGCCGGAAGAGTTTCATGGTGTAGAGAGCTTACGGAAGAGGAAGCTAAGCCTTTTATTACACTTAGTTTCATCGATGGCTCTGAATGGCTCAAACTCGGCTGAATGAAATTATTCAACTTCTACTTTTGTTTTCTTGTCTTCTCATTTTATATCTTAAACTTGATTTGTATAGTTTGTAAAAACACACACATTGTACTAGGAAATTTGTATCAATAAATATATGTTACAATATATAGTAATGTGATTTTGTCAATGAAGAACTACTTATTACTGTGGGGTGAAGCTTTCTAAAGCTAGGCCGGGAAATGGAGAATACATTAAAATGGATATATCAAAGTGGACATTCTCACATGTTATTGTATCATACATTTGACACTTCATTATCCAATTATTATTATAAGTATAATGAATTCATATGATATAACCCATGGCAGAGCTAGAAAAACTACACGGAGTAGTATATACTCCCTCCGGTTCTTATTTAAGTTTCCAATTTGACTTCACACATATTAAGAAAATGAATTTGACTTTACTGTGGAGTGCACTGTTTGGCACTGTTTGGACACTGTTTGGCACTGTTTGGCACTGTTTTGTTTCCTAAAATGGAAGTGTGAACTTAAATAAGGGACATCCCAAAAAGGAAAGTGAGAACTTTAATAAGAACCGGAGGAAGTATTAAATATAATTTCTCGATATTCACAAAAGAGAATTAATCAACTTTAGTGTTATCATGGGGTCATACTAATTTGAACTCGACGTGGCTTAGGAGTTAGGATTAGTGAAACCTGCTTACGAGAAGGCCATTTTGGCTTTGGTTTTTTTTTTGTTTTTTGGTATTTCTTCAAGATTCATAAAGTAATAGAAGTGAATTACGGAGTATTTGTCTTATTATTTTTATTCATGGAATTAAATTAAATTAATACTTACTCCACTGAAAATGGCAATTAAAATGCTCCATATTTATTTAATGTGCTCACTCTATTCACCAAAGTCTAAAGACCTATCTAGCTTACCAATAACAACATTCTTGAAGTTGAATACATTTTGAGATTTTGACCATGAGGATGGCACCCTCATCCGGGCCCCACTTACACTTGCCCGTGATTCCATCACGGGTAGACTTTTCTTCGGGCTGGGCCGTTGCTTTGGGGCACTTTGGGACCTCAACTTGGCCCGAAATGCTTCTGTGTTGGCCATATAGTTTTTTTTGTGGGCATGACTCACGAAGTATGATGAACTCCCGACACAAACACTGTTAGCCGGCGTGACGGGGGTGCTCATCGCCGGCGAGAACCGTAACTTGTCCCCGTTCGTCCCCAGATCGCCAGAATTTTGGAAATCCCGGACCTCGGCTGACCGGGTCGGAATTCTACACGAAAGGGGAGAGGAGAGTGAGTCTATCTCTACTATCTTCAGGTTGTCGTCGTCACATCCATTGACGGAAGCCTCGAACGGTAATGGGTGTATTCCAATTGTAGTTTTTCCATCAAACCTTTCCTGCAACAACAAAGCACCGAAATTAACAATTCTAAATCCCATGTAGTAGTTAAAATTGTGGGAATTGGTTGTTGAACCTGAAATTTTTTTAATTTGAAATCTAATGTTAAAAATAGAATTTACAACATATAAAATTGAAAAAAAAAAAATATCCTCTTTAACAACTAAAGCAAATTCTATCAAAAAATAACTACAAACTTACTTGCTCGGATTAGACTATTAAACACCGAGAATCATAAATTCAGCACGGTCATGATACGAAGTATTACGCATTATATTACTAGTATAATACTTCCTCCGCTCCTTAATGAAGTTTACACTTTGACTTCACACATATTAAGAAAATAAATTTGACTTTACTGTAGATTTGTTTGCCAAATAAGGCAAATAAAGAAGTGTAAAGTTTAATATGGGACGGCCCAAAAAGGAAAGTGTAAAATTAATTAAGGATCGGAGGGAGTAATAATGACATAAATAGAGAATAGGGATAAGGGATTCCACACGAAAAATTAGTCCTGAGACGAAGAAAATAGGCGGAAAAGTAGTCCTAAACGAAAAAATGACGTAGGAATGTGCAGGAAAATACTCTCTAAAGGACAGAAATAAGATTTTCATCACGGAAGAAGAAGATTTCCACAGTAAAAACTGAAAAGCTGAAGAAATTTTATGTCGGAATTAGGTCATTTTCATACCATTTTTTCCACCACCTTTGTACTAATAACATTTTTTACGCACTCATATGTGTATTTAAAAGTAATTGTTGATAGATAAATCTATTAATTTGAAAGTACCTTATGATATTCTTACTAATTTATTACTCCGTACTCTTTCAGGGTAATTTATCATATCTTTAGTAATACTTGATAGTTGATCCTCTTTTTCTAATAACAAAGAACACAATAATAATCAATGGTATTGATCGAAGTCTTCTCTTTTATGATCAATCGTGTATTTATACTTTATCAGAACAAATTTACTTATTGAATAAAAGAAAATGCTCATTCTTCTAGAATAATTTAGGTAACTTTATATATTTATAAGAATATTTTTGAATTTCATAATTTAGAATGTTATATGGATAATTAGTTGTAAGTGGGCACATTTTAAGTTACAAGGCTTTAATATTGTAAGGATTCTTTTTATTGGATTGAAATTTTCAAGTTTGATCCGATTTGTAGTGAGTCTGATTTGATTCTATATGTATATATAATTGTTATCTTATCTGATTGTTAACTTTCATGTAGCAATAGTTATTCTTTGAAAAATTAAAAAGAAATTCATTACTGGTACAGAAAAACAATTAATATTCGTACATCTTTTCAATAACGTTGTTTATTTTAAGCAAGGCAAGTATTGTTGTCTATGTTGTAAGAAAAAAAATCACTTTTTGTCCCATGACTATTATACCACTTCCATATTTAGTCCTTTAGTTTCAGATTGTCCACATTTAGTCCGTGACCATTATCCCCTCACCACCCCTCGTCCTTCCGGCCAAATTTCCGGCAAATTTAGCCCACTTATCAGTCTCAGAATCCGTCTTTGCATTAAATTTTGTATAAGGTTGGGTTTTTCATATCATTGTTTGCATTAAATTTGGTTTTTCATACCTAAAATCTGCATCAAATTTGCCGGAATTTTGGCCGGAAGGACGAGGGGTGGTGACGGGATAATGGTCACGGACTAAATGTGGAGAATCTGAAAGTAAAGGACTAAATGTGGAAATGGTATAATAGTCATGTGACCAAAAGTGAAATTTTTTATAATAAGGGGATGGACCTAGGTAAATTTTCAAAATCCATGGTTACTACGAGGTAGGTTACCTAGACGGCCAACAGGTTAGGTGGTCACTAGCTACATTGCAGATTAATCCGATGTTGAAGATTTAGTAAGGAATAGTAATTAAACATGAAAAACACTTTTATAATCGCCTATTAGGTCAGAACAAATTAGATCGAAATTAAACAAATAAGATCAGATTAGATCAAACAAAAATAGATTAAACTAAACTTTGATAGTTATAAAATACTATCGTCCTTTAAAACTATCCCAAGTTACGGGAAGATTAATAAAACTAAAAACTATTACCTCCGTCCCATAAAACTTGGCCAACTTTTCTTTTTGAACGTCCCAAAAAACTTTACATTTTACATTTAAAGTAACAAATATGCGGTTAAAGTTATTTCTCTCTCCTCTGCACAAATATCAACCACACAGTTTTTACTTTATTAATCTACGTGCAAATCAACATTGGTCAAGTTTTATGGGACGGAACGAGTATATGATTAGATATGTACCAAGGATAGAGAATTAACCGGAAACACAGGTTTATGGGACAAAGAATCTAAAGCAGCAATTGAAATAATGAGACCGTTAAAATGTCATACGGGTAAAAAACTAGGGATATTCAAGGGGAAAAGAAAAGGAAAAATGGACCTTTACCGTGGATGTTCGAGAGGGGGAATGACGAGGACAACAAGGGTGGTGGTGATTGAAATTTGCGGAGGCTCGCCGGAATTTGTGGGCCCGAACACTGGCCTGAGCTCTCATCAGAGCTTGCATGCCCTGAAAAGCCGCCGCCGCTTGTCTCCTTACCAAATACCCTCTCACCAGCGCCTGTATTTTCACCAATCCTTTCAAGCACCGAAGCGCTTTTCTCCCCTGATTTTTTTTTCATTTTCTTTTCATCAAATTCATTCATTCATTATAAAAAATCTTGAAATCTTCCAATTAAATGCGGACTAGTTTTTTATTAATTACCAGATATCCTCGGAAGATCGCTTGAATCTTGACGGCGGCTAATCTCTCCCTGCAAAACAGGGCACCACGCCCTTGCCTTGTGAGTCTCACCACCGCCGCCGCAGCATTGGCGGCCGCGGCCGCTGCGTCCGCGGCAGCTGCGGTAGCTGCCGCCAAGGCGATTGCGTGCTCGCTCTGGTCCTTGTCGGAGAAGAATGAGCTCAGCCATGCTGCCTCGGCTGGTGTTATGTTGGGTGGTATGGTGGTGGGATTATTACACAACGCGGCGGATGTGGTGGCGGAGGCGGTTGAACCGCCCCTCCCGGAGTGGCCCACGGCTGTTTTGGCTCTGTTTTCTTCACTTTCAATCTCCAAATCTTTTGTCACCTTCACCCCAAAGAACCCTCTAAGCCACCTCATTGCTTTCCCCATTTCTTTACTGTGTAATTCTGGGGAACTGGTGGGGGGAGCTAAAAGGGAGGAGGTGGGTGGGTGGGGGTGGGGGGAGGTGGATGCATATTACTGTGGAAAGCTTCTTTCACAGCTCATAATTCTAAATATTTTTGCTATTGTTCAGAAAGTGGTCAAGATCAAATGAAAAAGAAAGGTTAAAAGTGACAGTGACTTGTGAGTGTGTATTGTGATGCTCCCATAGCAGCATCCAACTAGTTGCTTCACTATAATGTTTGAGAGAATACAAAAATTACCACATCTTCATCTTGTCTTCACTTTCATTCCTTTGTTACTTTTGCCAAGTAACAAAACTTTATTGCTATTTTGGGAAATTATTATACTGTACAAGTTATTTTCTATAATCCTTGATTCCTTGCACTATATATATAGGAGAAGACAAATACTACTACAATCTTAAATAACTACCGCTGATCAGTAGTCTGGAAATCATCTGTTTGTTATGGATAATCGGATATATAACTGTTTGATGGTTATTTTAAACTAATAATTATTAAGTTGGGGGATTTGACTCTGCACCCGCTTTTTGGATGATATTGGACTTTACACCTCATTTTGAAAAAGTTTTGACTTTGCACCTCATCACATAACATTTTGTGATAGAAAAATTTATGAATGTGGTGCAAAGTCAAAGGATTTTTAAGTGTAATAGGATGCAAAGTCAAAAATTTTTGAAAATGAGGTCCAAAATCTAATACTCCCTCCGTCCCTTAAAAGTTTGCAATCTTTTCTTTTTGAAACGTCCCAAAAAACTTTGACGCTTACCCTTTTAATCAATTATTTTGTGATTCCTGTTATTTTTCTCTCCTCTGCACAAATCTCAACCACACAGTTTTTACTTTATTATTCTCCGTGCCGGTCAAACTTGGCAAAGTTTTAAGAGACGAAGATAGTATCACTCAAAAAGTGAGGTGCAAAGTCAAATTCCCTTATTTACGATCCCAACGACCCACACGGAATCAAGTCTGAAATTATAAGTTGTTTTTAATTCACAAACAATATTGTAAAATAACTTGATACAATACATATAGATGAACTTGTGGATATTTTTATTAAGTCGTTGAAAGGCACTCGACCAATTAATCCCGAATCTAGAATTGGTCGAAATTATTCGAAGTGCTCCGAATTTCAAATTGCACATACTACCTTCGTCCCTTAAAACTTTGCCAAGTTTGATCGGCACGTGAATTAATAAAGTAAAAACTATGTGATTGAGGTTTGTGCAGAGGAGAGAGAATAAACTGCAACCACAAATTCTTTACTTAAAATAGAAAGTGGCAAAGTTAGTGAGATACTCAAAAATGAAAGTTGACAAAGTTTTAAGGAATGGAGGGAGTATACATTATTCTTTCGGTCCCCCTTTCTCAATAAGTGCTTATGCGTGCACATCACATTCACCTAAACTTAATTATGAGAATGAGCTCTTTCATAACAGAAATTTTTTCCGTTTTTCTATAAAATTAGTAAATAATGGAAAGAAAAATTTGAAAATGTGTGATGAAATATATTCTCTTGTACTCTAGGAGCTCATTTGGTAGCACGAAAATCGGCTGTTTTGGCTGATTCTGCTGAAATTTATGAAGTTCTAGCTGAAGTGGCTGTTTTGGCTGATTCTGTTGATTCAAGAAAAAAATATTTCAAATATATATTTTATTAATAAATTAAAGAAAAAATTACATGTAAAAATAGCTATAATGGTCCTCTGCACTAACTTCAGCCAATACAGCCAGAAAAGTAACTTCAACCTTACTTTTTCTGCTTATTACACAATTCAGCACACGAAAGTAAAAGTTACGTGCTTGGTGAAAAAGCTGGCTAATAAGCCTGATAAGCCGAAAAAAGAGGTCTCCAAACGGGCTCTAGGAGTATCAACATCCACGTGTAAGCAATACCCTGAAAACACAGAGTACAAGATTAGTGACGAGGCCGAGCCCGTGGCCGACGAGGTCGATTCCCAAACCGGTTCTCAAATAATCAAGATAAGTCTAAATTTGCATTCGAGTCCGAGCCTGCCAATCTCGGTTCTCAAATCAGTTCTTAGATCATCGAGATAAGTCCAAAACAGCGGTTGAGTCAAAACTTGCCACCTCGTGAGGTCAACACCAAAGCCAACGCTATTGGCAAACTTGGAGCCAGCTAGTGTCCCACAAAGTCAAAGAACTAAGAGAAGCATTAATTAAGCAAACTGAGGTCACCCTCTTCTTAAGTGAGTGCATTGTCGTCGAGCTGAAGTTACGCATAGCCCATGGCCTTACTTATTTCCGGTATGCAGGTTTCATGTCACGCCTCGGACCGCATCTAGGCACGTGTACAATCGCCGTATGACCAAGTGACGTCATTCGCAAGTCAATGTGTCTAAATCATACAAAGCGTCCATGAACATAATATATCCATACTCAGTAGTAAACATACATAAAAACATCACAGTTTAGATTAATTGAATAGCGGAAATATTCAATAGTCGATCGTGGGCCACACATGGCCAAAACGTAGGCCAAAACACTATATCCATACAAAAGTATCCATGAGCATAGTTTATCGTTTGAAATAATAAAGGAAGCATGAACCACTTCTTCCTCTGGATTTTCTTCACCCGTGTAAAGGTGTAGATGACAAGCTTTAGCTTTAACCTGAAATGGTGGGGGGGCCCGAAGGGGTCAGTACAAGTACCGAGCGAGTAGTAAGCTAAATATAGAATAACTAGCGTTTCAAGTATAAGACCCAAACATAGGGTGATAGTTATGTAAATAGTCATTTCCCCCAAGTTAAGAAATACTTAATAATATATATACGATTGGAAGTACTCGATCCGTAGATCACCGTTTCATTTGGGAAAATAGCAATAGTCAATAGTCTTGACTAAAACCCCCAACCCACCCATATGTCTATGAGTGTATAGGACTCCTCCTTGTCCATATTTATATACCATAACCTATGAGTTTTGAGGATAAAAATCCTTGGGTGCTCCACCGATTTATAAATCGAGTGTTAAGGACTCTTCGTCCTAGGGTCCTCCACTGATACACATGTTGGAAAAATGTGTTAAAAATTGCATTAAATGGTCATTTTGAGGCAATTATTTGAGTGGGGTCCACTTCCGATTTGGGTCGGGTCAAAGTGGTTTCAGATTGTCCTTGTTAAGGGCTACAATTCGATATATGGTACGCTCAAAACGGATAACGGGTGAATGAGAAATTGATTCTCGAAGTTCACTCGTTGAAATGGAATAATTGGGAAAATGATAGGTTTCTAGTGTGTTTTATCCCACACCGGCAAACTCAAGGGATTTTCACCCCCTTATAAAGGAAGGCCTCTTTTAAGGAGTTAAGATTCCTAAAGGTAAAGGCTCTCTCTTACGCGCAGGGGGGGAAGGGGTGCCGATCAAATCTTGAAATGGTGAAGAAAAACCGCGACGCGTGTGCGCGGGCGACCTGCAGACACGAATGTCGTCCGAAAATCTATCATTCAAAGATACAGTCTAATTTTTGTTTCTTCCCGTAACGTTTTATTTTTCCCAGGACCAGAGACGCTCCAACTCTGGTGGATTTGCTCGAACTCTGGTGGCTTCGTACCAGAGATGCTCCAACTCTGGTGGGGGTACTCTGTTGGCTTCGCATCAGAGTTGCTCCAACTCTGGTGGAGGTATTCTGGTAACATCAGAGTTGCTCCAACTCTGATGGGGGTATTCTGGTCACGCACCAGAACTGCTCCAAGCCGTTGCAGCCATTAAATGCCCAACGTTCTTGTATTTTAATGCAGCGTTAAATGGACAGTTTATGGATGATTCAATGCCCAACGGACTGGTCATTGATGTCCAATGTTCAGGTCCATTAACACCCCATTTAACACACAACAAATCCTCCTATAAATAGCTGGCAGGTGGTTTGCAATAGACACACATTCTTACACGTTCACAAGCAATCATACACGTATTTTAGCTCTCAAAAACACCTTCAGCTCTCCGAAAATTTCCCAAGTGTTCTGCTATTGTTCCAGTTCGTCGGGACTTTCGTTTGTGTGCTCAAACGATTGTTCGTTAGCCACCGTATCCTGGGAAACGGTCGTTGCAACGCTCCTAGCACCGTGGGAGGCGACGAATACGTTTTAAGGACATCGTGCGTAGCACGAGCTCTGGCTAAAATCTGCTCCATCTTATTTCTATTTTTCTTTAGCTATTTTAATAATTAATTAATTATTTTTATTAATTAATATTTCTTCGTTTTTCTGAGACACACCCAACAATCTTAAAACGTATTTGGTGATTGTTCTACTCCGGTAAACAATCCTAAAACGTATTTTCCTTGGTTGTTATACTGCGGTAAACAATCTAAAGACGTAGTTTGTCACTTTGGTGAACGAACTTATTTTTTTGTGTTTTCGAAAAACGTAAGAAAACGTTAAAATGGCTTCACAAGAAATTGGAAATGTTGGTGGGCAGAACGTGCCAAACGATAATCACTCTGAAAGTGGAGCACCGGTGAACAATGGTTCACAACGCGGTGCATCTACTTTGGGCAACCAAGGGGCAATCCGTATGGTTACCGTGCCGAGCAACTCTGTGGAGAAACCCGAAAAATTTAACGGGTTAAACTTCAAGAGGTGGCAGCAAAAGATGCTCTTCTATCTCACTACTCTCGGTCTTGCAAAGTTCTTGACCGAAGATGCGCCGGTAGCAACCGGGGGTGAGGTGGATGCGCAATCTTTCAAAGCGGTTGAAGCTTGGAAGCATTCTCACTTCCTTTGTCGAAACTACGTGTTGAATGGGCTGCATAATGTTTTGTACAACGTGTATAGCAAATTAGCTACGGCTAAGGAGCTATGGAATGCTTTGGACCACAAATATAAAAGCGGGTATGTCGGCGCAAAGAAATTTGTTGTTTGTCGATTCCTTGATTTTAAAATGGTGGATTCGAAGACGGTCTTGAGTCAAGTTGAGGAAATGCAAATGATCTTCAACGAAATTCGAGATGAAGGGATGACAATTAGTGAGTCTTTCCAAGTGGCATCAATTATCCATTTATTGCCGCCGGCTTGGAAGGATTTCAAGAACTACCTTAAGCATGAGCGAAAGGAAATGAACTTGGAGCAATTGATCCTCCGTCTGCGGATTGAAGAGGATAACCGGAAGAATGATGGGAAACTCCCAATCATTACTAGCGCCAAGGCCAACGTGGTGGAGTTGACTTATTAGCTATTCAATCGTTGACTACACCTCAACAAGCAACATTCGACACAATCATAAGTCGTGTTCACTCTGGTAATGAGGGAGTATTCTTCGTAGACGGGCCGGGCGGTACTGGAAAAACTTTTTTGTATAGATGTCTCTTGGCAAAAGTACGATCAAATCATGAAATTGCACTTGCAACAGCAACCTCTGGTGTTGCAGCTTCACTCTTGCCTGGTGGCCGAACAGCCCATTCTAGGTTCAAAATACCGATAAACACAGATGATAAGTTTGTGTGCAATATCGGAAAGCAAAGTGCTGAAGCAACATTAATAAGAGACTGCAAGTTGATTTTGTTGGATGAAGCAACAATGGCCAATCAGAAAACGATCGAAGTGCTCCTGAGGGTCGGAGCGGTCGTCATAGGGCTTGATGGCGTTTCCCCTGTACTTCTCGAGAATAGGGGCCGAGAGTACCCTATCAGTGAAGGAAGTCCTCGTCCTGGCCTGGACGATTGGGTCTCCTCGTCCTTCGGCCAACTCCCTCTCAAGGATGCTCACCTTGGGTAGAAGGGCGTTGAAGCCGGGATCCCTGGATGAGTTGCCCGTGGAGGTGACGGTGAGCTGTTTGGCCTCCATCTGAGCGAGCCTTCGCTCGAGTTGGGCGATCACCTCGTCCCTGGGGTCCTAAGCGGCCATGGTGGCGCCTTGTGTCTGCAAGCGGGCTGCATGAGCCGTGTTGCTTTGGTGACGTGCGTAACCCTCATGCAGTTTCCCCTTGCCTTTGTCCAGGCGGGGCCGATCCGCTGTCCGAGATACGGACCCCAAGCTTTCCCTTGGTGAGACTTAGCCTTTAATAGGCTAGGTGACACGTGTCGTCGGCCTGCTTCGGAGAAGATGGAGGGACGGATTGGTGAGCGTGAGCCTGGCTCATTCCACGCGCTAGGGTCGGTCCAGCTCGAAGTGGGGAAACAGGGTGGGAGTGGGACGACGACGTCAGGGGCGGATCTAGCTTTGGCATCCAGGTGGGGCCAAAATGTAATTAAAAATGAATATTCAAAAAAAAAATCTAGCAACAAAATCAAAAACAAAAATAAAGATTATAGGAATAAAAGTTTGCATTAAAGTCAAATACAAAAACATCATAATTTTACAACTGTTCTCTACGGGTTTTCATCGATTGATATCGTTTGATAATGAAATCATTGTCAATTTTCAAGAAGATGTCTTTTTCCACATAAACAATAAGTCTATCATTGAGCCAGTCGTCACTCATCCGATTGCTTAACCTATCTTTCACGATATTCATTGCTGAAAATACTCTTTCAACACTAGCGGTTGGAACAGGAAGAATCAATGCCAATGTCAACAACTTGTAAACTAAAGGAAACACCTTGTGCTTCTTAGTTTCTACCAACTTCTCTGCAAGGTCACCAAGTCCATTGAGCTCCTTAAAAAAAGCATTAGAGCGCACATCAAAGATATAACTTTCAAGTTGATCAGTGAGAATACAAACATCTAATGGTGAAAAATCCCGGGGATAAAACTCGGCCAATCTAAGCAATTTCTTCTTCTCAAAAGCAGAAAATGAATCTCGTGGAGATAAGCAAGCAATGCATAGTAGCAACTCTGTACTAGCTTCTGAAAAGCGATCACCCAACTCTTGTAGTTGCAAATCAATCACAGCACAAAATAGATCATAGCGATAGTGATGCAAATTAGTAAGAGTTGGTCCTTTACGTACGGGGCGACCTCGAGAATCAAAACGGATGAATGTGTCATTCATGTTTGGGATATCAATTGAATGTTGATCACAAAAATTACAAACCTCCTCAAACAATGAATCTCATCTGTCATCTCTAGAAGCTTGAAGTCTATACCTGCAAACTTTAACAAGATCCATTGCATTGACAATATCTTGGTCACGCCTTTGTAAAGCATGAGACAACTCATTTGATATTCCCAAAATAAATTTCTATCATATGCAAATTTAGAACAAAATCAAAGCAATGCATCATCTTGAGTAAATACTCTATCTCCACCTTTTGCATAGACGTAGTTACGTCATCATCGTGTATCACATCAAGAGCATCACCAACAGCAGAAAACATTGAAATCAAGCTCACCAAAGATCTATAATGTGAACCCCAACGTGTATCACCCACGCGCTGAAGGCAAGATTCTTGGTGAAGACCCCTTCCACTTGAAATTTTACCACTTTCAAGCGCTTCAACAATGAAGTTCAATTGTTTTTCATGAAGAATGTCAGAACGTTTACATGAACCTCCAATAACATTTATCAATTGAGCAACAACACAAAAAAAATCAGCAATGAGAAGATTCTTTGTTGCAACAGCTACAAGGGCAAGTTGGAGTTGATGTGCAAAGCAATGAATGTAATATGCACTTGGGTTCTCATTAAGAATAATTGTTTTCAACGCACTTAGCCTCCCTTGCATATTACTCGCCCCGTCATAACCTTGCCCTCTTAATCTAGATATGCTCAAGTTGTGTCTACAAAATAGCGTGTCAATCGCTTCCTTAAGTGCAAGTGATGTGGTACTAGTGACATGTTCAACTCCAATAAATCGCTCTTTCACATATCCACTAGCATCAACATAACGTATCACAATTGACATTTGCTCTTTTGTTGATACATCACGGGATTCATCAACTATAATAGCATATAAAGAATCTCCAATATCTTGAATGATAGCATTCACCGTTTCAATAGCACAAGCATGAGCTAAATCTTTTTGAATGCTAGGTGCAAGAAGTTTACAATTTCCTGGTGCATTATCCATTACTACAAAAGCTATCTCAACATTATGATCTCTTAAAAATTCCATGGTCACTAGAAAATTACCTGGGTTTAGAGAGTCTTCAGATTCGTCATGACCGCGGAAAGGTAACCCCAACCTCAACAAGTACCGCACACAATCAAGAGAGGCTGTTAGTCGAATGCGATAATCATGTTTTGTCTGCATTGATTGATTGTCCAAAATTGTCTCAATATGTGCATCTTGGTTCATCAATGCATCACACCTCATTCGAGCTTGATTGTGCTCACTATCATGCTTTCCAACATGAACATTAAGTTTGGCCTTATCTTTCCAACTGCTAAATCCCTCTGAAACAAACACATCTCCTCCTGATTGTTTCCCTTTGTTGGGTTTGAAAAGGTAACAATACAAACAATAAGCAGCATCTTTAGATATGCTATACTCCAACCATTCATGTTCAGTAAACCAAGTCGGAACAAATCTTCTTGATTTATTTGCAGAAACCATCTTCATTGGGAAGTCATGCTCAAATGGTTGACAAGGGCCTTTCTGCAAATATGCTCTTCGAACTTGATCTCTAATATTTGGATGATACCTTGAGATCGGTATTCTCAATCCAGGGTCAGATGGAAGTTGGGAAGCATCAAACTCATTAGCGGCGACTGATTGTATGATTGTATGCTCTTCGTCATTTGTTGTTGAGTTTTCTTGAATTGTAGTTGACGGCACAGCCGGCACTACAATTTTTGATGAGCTACTTTCATTAGTTTTTTCTTCAACAGGGTTATAGTATCTCTTCATTACCTATTTACCTATGTTGAAAATAACGGGATGACTACTTACAACACGAATATTAATTAACTTAATAATTAGATTAATTAGAACACCTACAAGGCTACAAGTCACAAGCAAATACATACTACAAATGATGATTACAATTTACAAGTTCACAATTAATAATCAAATTCACAATTTCACATCAAGCAAAGTTTAAAATTCACAATTTACAAGTTCACAATTAATAATCAAATTCACAATTTTACACAAAGTTCACAATTAATAAAAGTTTAAAAAAAAATACCTGTCAACTAGTCAAGCAGAGGTGCAGTGACTGCAGTCGTGCAGAGCTGCAGAAGTGTAGTCGGCGGCAGGGGCGTCTGGGCGGTCGGGCGGAGTCGGCGCAGAGCTCAGCTACTGCTCGGCTTCTCGCCTTTCTCGCCTCACGATCTTCTCGGCGGAGTCGGCGCAGTCGCGCAGAGCTGCAGCAGTGCAGGCCGCAGCAGCCAGTAGGCGGACAGGCGGTGCAGGGCGCAGGCCGCAGGCGTTTTGCCGCAGTGCAGGCCGCAGCAGACCAGAAACGGACTCTGCGTTTTGCGTTTTGCGTTTTGCCGTTTGGAGTCGCAGAGGCGTGGATCTCTGGCTTTTTTGTTTAGCCGACAAACAAAGAAAAGAAACGGACTCTTTGTTTTTTGGACTTCAAAATTCAGGTTGGGCCTGATTTTTTAAAAATTGAGTCTGGGCCTAATTTTTAAACACCTATACTAGTTAAAAAAATCAGCATGGGCCTAGGCCCTGCCTGGCCTAAGGCCCAATCCGCCCCTGGACGACGTGTCCTGGGGCACCACCCCTTCGTTGTTGCCTAGCTTGATGGCCAACGGCTGAGGTTGAGGCGGCGGCGTAGTGTTCTCCCCAGTCATTGGAATGAGCGTGCTAAGGACGGTGGGGTTCTAGGCCAAGCTGGCAATGATGGTCGAGAGTGCGGCTTAGAGCTGGGGGTCAACGGCAGGAGAAGTCGGTTGCCCCGAGGCATTGTCGTCCTTGTCCAGGCGCTTCTTCTCCAGGGCGATGCGGGCGTCAAGGGCGCCGCCGTTGAGCTGATGGCGAAGGTCATTTGTGAGGTCGATGGCCTACTCACTATGGCTTTGTCAAGGGAGTATATGATATACCTTAGGCCATAGCTAAAAAGGACTTGTGAGTAGGCCATAGTGAGTAGGCCATAGCTCGGTCAAATGGATTTTGAAGAAGCACAAAGGCTCCACTTTGAAGGCAAAGGCTGTCCGGATTGCATTCTGTGCCGCGGCATATTATATATGGCATGCCAGAAACGCCTCTCGGTTTGATGGAAGTACAAAGATGGAGGATGAAGCCATTGCGAAGATTAAGCATGTGGTATATAAGATACTATTTTCTATATACCCACATGAAATGATCAGATTTTGAAGAAAAGAATTGTGTGGTGGCCGCGACATCCACTCATGGGCTAGTGTGTTTGCTCCTTGCAACACCTTTGAAATTTTGCTTGGCAATGGGATTTACTTATGTCCCGGTTGCCTGATTTTTGCTTAACTATATGTGTGCTACCTTGCACCACTGAATTGATTTTGTAATGAGGGGCATTTGGTATATTATACTTAGGCCCCTTTGATTTTGTTTTTGATTTTGTGCTAGATCGAATAAAAACCTCTTCTTACCCTTACACTAGGTAGGGGTGAGGGGTTTTAGGAGATCTAGAACCCATGATGTATAATTTTCTTTGGGTGTTAATATAAATTTACATTTCATCCAAAAAAAAAGGACTTGCGACTGCATGAAACAGACCCTTACCATATATGTTCGAAACTTTAAGAACAAAACTTTCCAAATATCCATGTCATCTGGACTTGAAATTTAGCATCAAACAACCAAATTCTGCACTATAAGTCTATACAGAGAATTATTATAAATATTACTAAAGCTCATGTGTTTTTCTAGAGTATGACTAATTATGTTTTTTTCCTATAATGATGCATGTTGTCATCCATATGATTAATATTGACATCCTATTTTTTAGAGACAACCGTGTAGCACTTCATCTTTATTGATTGCTCCTATTTTGTGCCACATAATTTGGTCATACAGCACATAAAAAACATCTATAGTCATATTTTAGGAAAAGTAGTGAGTTTTAGTAATATTAGAGTATTTTTCCCTAAGTCTATAATCATCATCACCCGTAACCTCTACATAACCATAAATCGGCGAAGTAAATTGTTCAGTTAAGCAATCGCAAAGTTGAATTGCATAATGCTTTTATGGATGTTCTCTGTTTGGCATCGATGACCAATTTCCTTTTTAGATTAGTTCCTGCTGCACCCCAGGATTTTTGCCGAGTATGGCACCAAAAAATATTTAATATTTTGATGATAACTTTCCATGATTGGAAAATGATTTCCTCTTTTGAAAGATAACGTTGGTCTCCTGGGAGAGTTTATCGACTTTATTCCCATCAAACATAGCCTGATAGTTTTTTAACTATCTTCAAGATGTACAACAGAATAGCATGAAATGAGAGGGCAAAGAATGATAAAATAGTCATAGCACTTGTTTGTATACAGGGGCAGCCCAGTGAACATTGGCAAGAGGTTGATCTGACCTCTCGGACACATTGCAACACTGTCAACACTTCATAGCACTTATCTGTACATTCCTCATAAAATTTACATGCTGGTGTTTCCAACAGATGAAAAAGTGATGAGTAAATAACTTCATTAGAAGGGCAATCCCATACTACTGATCAAGCTCTCAGCGCATAGGGTCCACTTCAAAGAATCTAATTCACTAATTATCATGAGGTATAATTTGGGAATCCGGCTTTTGAAATTATTAAACGTTTAATTTTTCTGACTATTTGGAAGCACTATGGATACTTTGAATTTTCCCTTTCTGATTCATGTGACAATGATCCTCTAACTGCCACAGTTTTTGTTCTCCAACTGTTGTGATGAACTATTGTGACCATAAGAATTTAGTTCCACCAGCTGTGGTGATGAACTTCTAAACATTCACAAAAAATGTATATCACAATAACCACAGGACTATAAAAGTGAAAAATTCCAAATATGACAGAGTACCAATAATCTTGATACAGTAGCCCAAGGATCTAATACCCAAATGTATGACTCACTGGTGAAAGATGGAGCAAGAATCTGAAATTGTTGTGGCATGTGCTTAGTATTCTATTGCTATTTCACATGATCTGATCACTGCTTGTAGGCTTGTAGCAGTACATAACTGTTCTTGTCCCCCCCAGATATTAGTGATAGTGTATAAATGACAAGCAACTCAAATATGCAACAAAGAGATAGATTCATCATATAAGCAAGTATTCTAAGCTTGCACTTTATTTATTAGAGTAATGAGCACTGAAGACATACATTGTGTCCAATCCTAGCTGTCTGTAGAAAAAATATAAAGCACGAAATTCTCAGATTGAAAAATTTTCATATATTGGAATATTGGGCAGATCAGGGAACATATACTACGCTTCCTACCAATGGATTATATCTCATAATTTGTAGTTCATACTAATACTAACTAGTAACTACTAAGAACTCATTGAACCCCACAAAACCCATAGTAAAAAGAGTGCATTTTTAGAAATAGTTCCAATTTATCCTACAACATAACAAGATTATGGTTGAATTTGAAGAGAAGTTTCACTTAAATTCGAAAGTAGGAGGGATGGGCGTCTCAAAGCTCTCCAGAATTTCCGTCTTCAAGCCGCTGCTCTTCTTCTCTTCTTTTTTTTCACCGAACAACCCTCCAAACCACGACTCTGATGGTGTGTCGTTGTTTGGAAGCTGATTCCCGCCAGGAGGTCCCATAGGATCGTTGACGTAGATTGGAGCGTTGAGAGGAGCAGTCGTGAACTTGTTCAGCATGATACCAGCTCCTTCGATTAAAGCCAAGAGGACGCCTCCGAAGGCGGCGGCTCGTGCGGAGGACCCTAGGCCCTGGCGCAAGGAGAGGAGGCCTCCGGTGGCAGCTCCAGAGATGATGGAGTTCCACGGATCCTCTTTCTGTCGCACGTAGACCATGGTGCAATCGAAGCACGAGAAGAGGCCGCCCCATACGGCAAAGCTGCCGCCGATTCTGGGGGCGTTCATTCGGACGGCTTGAGTGGCACCGATCATCCGCGCGCCATTCGGAGAGTTGTAGATACCTTTGATAAAGTGGAAGGCTGATCCCCCTACAGCTCCCATCCCAAACGCGCCACCGAGGTCGTCTAGGATGCGATCGGGGCAAGGCTCCCTTGAAGTTTCCGGCGTTCCCATAGCGGATGCGAGGGTTTAGTGAGCGCTTCCAAAAGAGGGCATATTTTATTGGTTTTTATTTTGTGAATGAAATGATTTTGCAGCTTCGGGCACAGTAGGTCTCTCAAACGGTGGGATACTGACCGGAATTATGAATTCCATATTCACATCCGTTGAGTAATTTTGGTCAAGATCCGGACCCATTTACCCTTCGGATCATAAACATATACTCCCTCCGTTCCCAAAAATACTTCTCACTTTCCTTTTTGGGCTGTTCCCAAAAATACTTCCCACTTTCCCATTTTGGACAATTTTTGTGGTTCACATTCATTTTACCTTTTTCTTACACAACCACAACCATACATTTCCACTTTATTCCACTTTCTTAATAAGCGTGCCAAGTCAAACCGGGAAGAATTTTTAAGAACGGAGGGAGTATTTCAGATTTAGGTCCGGCCGGTCTCGGATCCGTGCCGGATATACTCGCAAAAAAACTAATTGACATAAGCAAACAAATATCATAAATAACAAATTTGTGTTCATATTGGAAGAGATCATATAAAAATGAGCAAAATGTTGTTCTCTTCGTTAGTCTATACATCCTCAAACTTAATAGAAACAAAAATTTGAAACTAGAAAGGGATTAATATTAAGAGGTCCTAGAGCCCTAAACTCTTAGGAAAAACCCCATTATAGTGGGTCAACGGTCAACCACTAACCAAGCCTACAAATATTAAAACATTTTTCATATTTGATTGTTTTCCTTATTTAATGTTTAAATATTTCTATGTATATTGTGTGTGTAAATTTATAACTATATTTATATCACCACGGGTCGGGACTTAAAAATCCATATCTGACCCATTTTTCTCTCACATGTAACGGGTTCGGAACCGGATCCGATAAACAGTTCCGGACTCGGATTGGATTCGGATCTAGACTACCCGACCCATTGACAGGCTTAGGCACGGAAAAACGTTACGAACAAATTATTGTTTAGAAAAATAGGGGAGTATCATACTCAACAAAGTTGGTCAAATTTCTTTATTTAACCGTCTTAAAAAACTTTACTCCATATTTTTTCGTTGTTTTTTGTAAATTTTATGCAGTTTACTTTTTTTCTATTCATATTTCATTCATACTCCCTCCGTCCATTATAACTTTGCCAACTTTCCTTTTTTGTTTGTCCCAAAAACTTTGTCACTTTCCTTTTTAATCAATCAATTTGTGACTCCTGTTATTTCTCTCTCCTCTGCACAAATTTTTATCACACAGCTTTTACTTTATTATTCTACGTGTCGGTCAAACATGACAAACCTTTAAGAGATGGAGGGAGTATAATTTTTTATTTTTTATTCCATATACATTTCTTTTAAAAATAAATGTATACTACCTCAATGGCTTTATCCCAAATTATTTAGCATGTCAACATTTTTGGTCAACCAATAATAAAGCAAATACTTCCTATCGATAATTTATGCAATTTTAATAACAAAAAAATACATATTCAAAAATCACATTAAATTCTTTATAGAGTTGCAAAATTCAAATTAAGAATCGGTATCCTAATTAGATAAATAAAATGAATTTGTTCGATCTAAAAAGTTAATTTTATAATACAATTTGACACGGGTAGAGTATATAATACTCTCTCCGTCCCTTAAAACTTTGTCATCTTTCCTTTTTGAGACGTCCCAAAAAACTTTGTCACTTTCCCTTTTAATCAATTATTTTGTGATTTCTGTTATTTCTCTCTTCTGAACAAACTTCAACCACACAGTTTTTACTTTATTATTCTCCGTACCGATCAACTTTGGCAAAATTTTAAGGGACGGAGGGGAGGTAGTAACTGTTTAAACCTCACCAAATTTTAAAAAATTAGATGAGATTAGATCATATCTGCCTTCAACGTGTATATTGAGACTAGATCTTCTAGGCGTTCAACTAATTGGGTTGGACATTTACACGACCCGATTTTCTTCTAGGCGAGAACGGGAGAACGCCTAGGGCCTGGGCGAGAACGGGAGAAAGATTTTTAGAAGTAAATGTTACTGGTGCGAATTATATCAAGAGAGTAGAAGACTGGGAATTAAGTCGTCCAGGGCGGCGGCTTAGGAATTGTAGCAGCAGTTCCAAAACTCACGACTATAAATTCCAGGTTCTATTGGTATTTTCCTGTATGAAATTTCTGTAGTATAGCATCAGTTAAAGTATTGGTGTTCGATTCGATCTATTATACGGAGTACATACATAAATATATCTGAGTTAGGGTTTTTATTCAGAGCAGCCCACCATGGCTATGGTGATGCAGTTTCATACAAAGCATAAGTCTTTACTGATAATGTGCCAACCCACACTACTGAACCACGCATTCGCATTGCAATCCATGAACGCTTCTAAAAGAAATCACCAAACGAAGTGCCAATCGTTAAATCTCAGCAATATTTCACTTCATAACCGGAATTTCTCAAGTGGGATTCTTTCTGGGGGTTACCAAAGAATCACTCCCAGATGTTTTTCAAGTTCATTTTTGAGTAAAGGTGCAAGAGGCTATGGGAAGAATCTACCATGGCTGTCAAATGATAGGGCTAAACAGGCTAAAACTTCTGAGAAAGTGATGACAGTGAAAACAAGCAAGTCTTCATGGGAGGAATCAGCAGAGAAGTTCTTGAAAAGTTCTGTACCAGTTCCTGAAAATGTTGAAGTTATAAGCTTTGATAGCAGAAGGAATGAGCGCTGGGATGAAGGTTATGGTGGCGAAGTAGAAGATGAAGAACAAGAAACTGGGCAGGTGGATGATCCTAGATGGGATAAGATCAAAAATAGATTCAATAGAATTAGAGTGACGAATGCTACCGAGAGGCCTGACTTTAGGAGGTGGAATAATCAGGAAAATTGGGGCCGGAAGACGTGGAAGGAGGCTACAGAATCAATTGTGCCAAAAATGGTTGGGGAAGGTGTTTATGGGATTGGTCCAGTTTTGGCTGCCCTATCCGCTGAAAGGAGGGAATTCTACGCTTTGTACATTCAAGAAGGGTTGGATTTGAGCTCGAACAATCGGAAGAAGAAAGACAAGAAAGGGTTCGAGAAAGTTTTAAAGATGGCGGAAAAAATCGGGCTGTGTACAAAGGAGTTGTCCAAACATGACCTGAACATGATTACTGACAATCGGCCTCACCAAGGTCTAGTGCTCGATGCTTCCCCTCTAGAAATGGTTAACATCAAAGAATTGGAACCTGTTTTGGTTGAGGGAGGGGATGCTGTCCCTCTATGGGTAGCCCTAGATGAGGTAACCGACCCTCAAAATCTAGGAGCCATCATACGATCCTCTTACTTCTTTGGAGCTTCGGGTGTGGTTTTGTGTGCCAAGAACTCTGCTCCGTTGAGTGGAGTTGTGAGCAAGGCAAGTGCAGGCTCGCTCGAGTTAATGGAGGTTAGATCATGCAAGAACATGATGCAGTTCTTGACATCATCATCTGAAAACGGTTGGCGGGTGTTAGGAGGATCGGTCTCTTCAAGAGCCGTTCCTTTGACCGAGGTCAAACGCGGTATTCCTACGGTTCTAGTTTTGGGCAGTGAAGGGACGGGCTTGAGGGCCTTGGTTGAGAGATCATGTAATCAGTTGGTTAGAATTCCAGGGAGCATACCCGTAGATGTTAGGGCAAAGGGGGAAGATGAAGATGTGGTAGATGACGAAACAGATGGTGAAGGCTCAAGTGGTAACTTTAAGGCATATATGGCTGTAGAGAGTTTGAATGTAAGCGTTGCAGCTGGTGTCCTCCTCCACTACTTGATTGGTAGGTAGGAAACTACATGATATATAGCCAGTTGCCCGAGAAGATGACTACACTGTGATTTTGCTGATTTGATTTTTTTATTAAGCTTCTCTTTTGAAACTTCCATCATTTACAATGGAGTTGAAGACTTACTATTTTTTGTCTTAGGAATATGATGAAATAAAGCAAAATGACTCACAAAACTGTCTGCGTTTCTTTGTTATAAAATAGCAGTCGGTCCATGCAATTTCGTCGCGATTTTCACTATTGATCATCCGAAAACCGTCTCTCTGTGCTTTAGTATGGGAGCCTTTGCGGCACTGGGGTAATGATGATGATGTCTCTTTTGATGACAAACTTGTCTTTTGTGCTAGCTCAATGTTATTTTTAAGGGAAACACATATTTTTATTAGACTAATAATTCCTTAAAAACCCGTTTTGTAGTACTATAATGGAATGAAGTTGCCAATGTTTTGGCCTCAATTGATTGAATAATTATAAAATAAAGAAAACAATGCACAAAAGTTAGTTCAACGATAGCCTTATTTACTTTGATTATTTAAAAATTATTCGGGTAAAAGCAATGTTCTAAAAGGTGTTAGGCGCTAGTCGGGCGCCAGCCCAGCGCCTAGGCGAACGCTTAGGTGGGGACTAGTCGGAAACATAGAAATTATAGTTTTATCAATATTTTTGCATAAATATGATTAGTAATGTTGTGCTTTGGTGTATATAAAAAAATGTATACACATTAACAATTTAACATGCATGAATGATAGAGTGGTCACATTTAAAAATATATTATTCCTACTCACTTAACTTCATTATGTAGTAAATATTACTCCCTCTGTCCCATTACACATGTCTTACTTTTCTTTTTCGGTTGTCTCAAAATAAGTGTCACATTTCCCGTTTTGGAAAGAAATATGTAGTTCACAACATTTCACTTTACTATATTCAAATCTCAACCACAATTTTTACCTTTTCGACCACTTTATTAAAAATTGTGCCAAAACCAAATGAGACACATAAGATGGGACGGAGGTAGTATTAAATAATAATAATAATAATAATAATAATAGTAATGGTAATGGTAATGGTAATGGTAACGGTAACGGTAACGGCAACGGCAACGGCAACGGCAACGGCAACGGCACCGGCAATGGCACCGGCAATCGCAACCGCATCGGGATCGGCAACGGCAACAGCAACCGCAACCGCAACCCCAACCGCAGCCGCAACCGCATCCGCATCCGCAACCGCAACAGCAACAACAACAGCAACAACAACAATAATAGTAATAGCACTCAAGTTTTTATCGTAATCTACAACTAATAGCTTTCTTCATATGCGTTGTTAAAATTAATTAAGGGTATATATATTTCTA